TAATTGTATTGATTTAATAATGACATCAAACTTGTTGTCATATTTGACTTTGAAAAAATAAAAAAATAATTTAATAAAAATAAATATAAAATTTATTTAAAAAAATAATTTCTACCGTCCAAAAGATAAAATTATATAAAAAATGATGTTTTTTTACCAATTTAATTATTAGTTCTTATAAAAAAAAATTAAAAAATGAAATTTGAAAAACCAAACTAAACCATAATTTTATAATCAATAGAGTCCCTAGCCATCCCATTATTCATTAAAAAAGAAGGATCATTACATTTTAAACAATTATAACAATTAACTAAGTATAAAATAAAAATTATTGACAACCCTTGAAATGACCATTTCAATATGAAATATTTTAATTGTTTTTATTTAAAATAATATTTTAAAATTCAAAATTTGAAATTAAATTGTATACAATTTAAAAAATTAGATGACCAAATTGATACAAATCCCCACACTTCAAGGACGATTTAAATCATCGCCCTAAATTTTGAATCTTTTTTAGGGCAAGATTGCTAAGTGTCGTTGAACGTTACGTTTGCAATTATATGTACAAAGAATTTTACGAAACTAGTTTTTGTTATTTTTAGAAAAACATTAAACTACAAAACGCGTTTTAGTAATTGACAAAATGTTTAAAAAAAATTTAAAAATACAAAAAAGAGTGAGGAAAAATGGCACGTGTGTGCAAGTGACGGCAGAAGACGGTGGTGGAAAAGTCGGTGACGGGAGGTGGTGGGCAGCGGTGTCGGTAGCGGATGGGAGTGAGTAAGTGACAGTGCGGGTTGTTAGCGATGGGTGGATGGCGGGCATGCTTGTGGCTACGGTGGCAGGTGCGGTGGCGATGGCGGGTGTGTGGTGGGTAGGTGCTGGGTACAGTTAGCGGTGATGGATGTTGGATGGCAGGTGGTGGTGGCGAATGGCGATGTGGTTCGGGTAAGTGAATGTGGTGTGGGCATGTATGATTGAGTGGCAGGTGTGGTGTAACGAGTGGGTGGTGGGTGGCGGTGCAGGGGGTGGTGGCGGATTGGCAGTTGGTGGTGGATAGTGGCGGGTGGTGGTGGGTGGTGGGTGTGGGTGACATGGCGGTGGTGTGGTGAGTGCCCGTGGTGGGTGGTGGTGTGTGATGGGTGGGTAGCGAGTGGGTGTGGTGGTGGTGGGTGGTTGTGTAGGAGTGGGTGCGGTGGGTGTGAGGTGGTGTGGTGAATGTGTGTAGTGGTATGAATGGTTTGGTGCGGGTGGGTGAGCAGGCTGGTAGTGGTGTGTGGGAACTGCGTGGTAGCGGGTGCGTCGTGTGGTGACGATGGTGGGAATGTGTGCGTGTGGCAGTAAGGTGGCAGGAGTAATGATAGATGTGGTGGATGGTAGGTGCGGTGGGAATGACAGAGTGGCGGTGGTGGTGTGGTAGGGAATGGTGGCGGTCCTAGGTGGCGATGGTGCAGCGGTGCGGTCGGTGGCGAGTGGGGTGGACAGTGGGTGGTGCGAGTGGGGGCGGTGAGTGTAGGTGCACGGTGTAGTGGGATGTGGTGTGTGTGGCTGATGGTGGCGGTGGTGCGATTGTGGTCGGTGTACATGGTGCGAGTGGGTACAGTGGGTGGGAGGGGGGATGGCGAGAGTGTCGTGGGCGGTGAGTGGTGGTGCAGTGGTGTTAGTGGGGATGGGTGGTGGCGCTTGTGGGGCGAAGACGGTGGTAGAAAATAGTGGCAGGTGAGGCTATGCTACATTTGGTGGTAAAAAAAAAAATAAACTCCAAAACTCCAAAAAAACGGAAAACACACTTTTTTAGTTTAACTATTTTTTGGGCCAAATTTATGGTGGGTATGAACTTGAGACCCTATTAAAAATAAAAAATTTACCAAACAAGTTTTATTTGGAGTTTTTGAAAATTTTGTAAAATAAACAGAAAATTTAAAAGAACGTTAATTGTTACCAAACAACACCTAAGCGTTGATGTCTTTTAAGTTATTTTGTCTGAATGGAATTTATTCTTCAACGTTATGTCAAGACACACTTTATATGATAGATACTCTGCTTACTGAGCTTCTTGGGAAGTGGGTTGTGCTTTTTGACTTTTTAACTTTTTTGACTAAGTTGAGCTTGGCTCAAAGAAGCTTGTTTGAAAAATGACTTTTTGATTTTTTTGATTTTTTTTGACTTTTTTTGATGAGAGAAAGTGTAATAATTATGGGTTGGATGTGAATGTTTTGTCTGCTGTGGCCAAATAGCCATTCTGTCTTTTGTGCTCGAAGCAGTCGAAACAGAAGCCCAAATGAGCCCTTCCCAAACCGACCCACTTGATTTTTTTCCTAGCAAAAAATGTACATAAAAAGGAAAAATTAATGTGAACAACTTATAATAAATAAAAATAATGAATAAGCCTATATTAATTATAATCCAAAACCATCTCTAAAATTCTCAGGGTTTTTATTGCGTTCCTGATTTTTCACCCTATCCTCTCTTAGTAAGATATGGTATGACGGGTTCGTTTTGTAAAAAATAGTATTTTAAATTTAGAGTATTGCAAAAATAATTAAATGGCCTTAATTTGTTAAGATCCAATCTATAATTAACATTTAATTCTAAAAGTAAAGCATATAAATCCCAAAATTAAACGTCTAAATATATTAAATAACTACAAACCATAGTTTAATTTTAAAATTATGCTAAACATAAAATTAAAAATAAAAACGTAGTTTAGTGAAAGGAGTTTTATCTCTGTAGTAAAAGAAAAAATTATTTCAACTGAGGTATGGTACGGTACGGTCTAGGTATATGCTAAGTACGTTTGGGTATGCCAAAAACTAAGAACGTGTACCCGGTATGTATGCAAGAGTACCATAAGAGGTACCATACGCCGATAAGTACCCGGTATGGATACGGTATGTTTTTCGAAATAACCATGATTGATAGGTTATTACAATAACTATTTTAACAAAATTCTTTAAGACTAGTTATTACAATAGCTATTTTAACATAAACCTTTTAAGACTAGCTACACTTTAAAAGCTTTGGAGGCTTCTTTAAACAGTTTATGGGTGTAAATAGGTAAAATAAAGAGTAGCATTTAAGTATGTAGATAAAAAAAGGGATTAGGCAAAATAAAGAATTATTTTTTTTGTATTTTAACTAGTAAAAAATGAAGAGTATGGTTGGAGTTGCTCTGAAGGACCATTAAATGTGTTTTGCTTTTCATTGATTACTGAATGCATTTATTTCTGGAAATTTTGCACTAATTTGGCACATTTGCTCAAAATAAAATAAGGTAACCTCACTATGGACCTTAAAATCTTCAAATTTCATGGTCAATCATTGTGATGCAGAGGACTACATTGTTGGATGTTTATGTAAAATCAGCTGAAATATGTGTAGCATTGGATCCATGACTTTGGGTTCCTCATGTCCTAGTAAAAAATGCTTGGACAATGTGGGTTTTGTTGCTCTGCTCTTTCTTTTTTAAACTTGTATGGTGGAATTTTATGCTTATGGGTATTTAGAAACTTTAATTTTTATAATGAGTTGATTTGAAGAAGGGAATGATTAAGTGGTTTTGTATTCTTCACAGAGTGTTCTGGGAATTATACTCGGAGGTGGAGCTGGGACTCGCCTTTACCCTCTTACAAAGAAGAGAGCAAAACCAGCTGTTCCTTTAGGAGCAAATTATCGCCTGATTGACATTCCGGTCAGCAACTGCCTTAACAGCAACATATCAAAGATCTATGTTCTTACACAATTCAATTCTGCATCTCTAAATCGTCACCTTTCACGCGCATATGCAAATAACATGGATGGCTACAAGAATGAAGGTTTTGTTGAAGTTCTTGCTGCTCAGCAAAGCCCAGAGAACCCCAATTGGTTCCAGGTAGTATAAAATCTGAACTCTATACCTTCCAGTCTTATACTGTGCAGCAGTTTTTCATTTCTGTGAGATTCCATTTGAAGTTGACAATTTGTTTGTATACCATTAGTGCTGGCATTTTCTGTGCATTTGATAGATGAGTTATGCACATGCATCAGGATGAAAGTTTGTCAACTATTGTGTCCTCCTTAATATGCTAGACCAAAATTACCAAGTGCAGATCATCCTGATAATTGAAATTAAATCATTCCTGATGTATCTTGCAAGTGTCCCTAAGAATTGGACTAGTTCAACAAACACCATTTATGTTATTTTCTCCCCTATTAAATGGTTCTCTTTTTTTTCTCCCCCTTTTTTTTTTACCACCATACCCTCTCTGTTAAATGTTTTTCTCCCCTTTCGTTATCACTATTCCCTTGTATGGTACCATTCTCTTTGTTTTTAAGGAGTTGCATCACTTGCAAAGAAAAGAGTAATCTGCCCCACTTTTCTAATGTACCTCATTATAAGCTGTGGTTTGATGCAAATAGCTGCTATCAGTGCATCACTTACAAACCAAAAAACTGTTCCCCAATTTTGTTTTTCTTAATGCCTCATTTTCCCTTCACCCAGCGTTTGCTAGACACGCTGTATTGATTTGTATTTTTATTGGTTATTAGGGTACAGCTGATGCTGTGAGACAGTATTTGTGGCTGTTTGAGGAACACAATGTTCTAGAGTTCTTGATTCTTGCTGGGGACCATCTGTATCGTATGGATTATGAGAGATTTATTCAAGCCCATAGAGAGACTGATGCTGATATCACTGTAGCTGCACTGCCAATGGATGAAAAACGTGCCACTGCATTTGGTCTGATGAAAATTGATGAAGAAGGACGTATTATTGAATTTGCAGAGAAACCAAAAGGAGAGCAATTGAAAGCTATGAAGGTTGTTTCTTATAAATTACTTTATAATTCTTCATCAGTAGTAGTACAAGTCATGATTTTATTTATAAAACTGATAAATAAGCCCAGATTATGATTGATTTTATCTATTTGTCATGTTTTAGGTTGACACTACCATTTTAGGTCTTGATGATGAGAGAGCCAAAGAGATGCCTTTCATCGCGAGTATGGGTATATATGTTGTGAGTAAAGATGTCATGATAAATCTGCTTGCGGAAAAATTTCCTGGAGCCAATGATTTTGGAAGTGAAATTATTCCTGGTGCAACTTCCATTGGAATGAGAGTATGTGAAAAGCCTTTTTTTCTTTATTGGTACTCTACTTGTATTGTCGAAATCAGAAAGGACACAATGCATGTTCTTTATATTTACTGAAGTTGGTTGGGAGTTTATATTTTATGTCTGGGACCTATGTAAATGTATAGATTGCACTTCATTGGCCCACTTGCTGCACTATTATTGTGCTTCCCATTTTGATGGGGATGTGTAACAAGTGGTCTGGTTCTATATAGCTGTGCCATTTTGAGGATAATTGAAGCATCCTGATTCCTGAGTCATGCAGCGATAGTTTATTGTCTAGATATCTATGGCTTTGGGCTAATTTAAGTTGCTGCTTATGGACACCTAACTCTACTGATATCAACAGTGTAAATCTATTGAACTGAAACTTAAATGTGTACAAAATGCCGATCAATTTTCTTAGAATTCTGGCCTTCAAAATAATCTTCTATCTGCATTTTACTTCTCCAGATTCACAATTTTTGAAAGTTTAATTGCCTCTTCTGCCTATAGGTGCAAGCTTACTTGTATGATGGCTACTGGGAAGACATTGGTACCATTGAAGCTTTTTATAATGCCAATTTGGGGATCACCAAAAAGCCAGTGCCAGATTTCAGGTTCTCCTCTTGTCCATCGAACTTAGTATCTTTCTTCACCCTTGATGTGCTGTAACATCATCAACTCTTTTTGTGGTACAAAAACTTTGATATGTTCTTTAATTTATCTTCTGCTGTAGCTTCTATGATCGTTCAGCACCAATCTACACCCAACCTCGATATTTGCCTCCTTCCAAGATGCTTGATGCTGATGTCACAGATAGTGTTATCGGTGAAGGTTGTGTAATTAAGGAAAGTAACTCAATGTCTGCTGATAATATCTGCCACCTATTTAGATTCCACAGATGACAGTTGCGCGTTCATGAATCATACTTAAAATTTAGGTGTGTGTGTTTTTTTTTAAAGATTTTTTTAGTTTCTTGAAGACCTTTTTGTTATTGATGACAGTTTTGCTCAAAGAGCAAGACACTTTTTTTTTTTTTTTAAAAAAGTATTTCTGTCATGGAAGTAATGGCATGAGAGGTTGCTCCTAGATGTTATTGACTTGAGAGATATGAGTTGTAGGAGCCAGGCAGTTAATCAAGCCTACAGTTCAAATACCATGGTTGGTCATACAAAATGTAGAAAGGCTTGATATGAAATGAATGAGAGGCCTATTAAGGATTGAGCCACGCTTAGTAATTACTGCAGCACCTTGTCACCGTCTTCTCTCTCTCTTCTCTTAGCTAAGTAGGCTCATCTCACACTTCAGCTTGCTACAAGCTTTTAAATTGCATTATGTCAGAATGTGCTGCCACACTAGTAGAGGAATCCTTCATCAATGGTTGTGAACGACTATTGTTCAAAAAGAAAACCTTTCTGCTCATTTGATGCCATTCACGTTTCACACAAATAGTGTAAGTAAGCTTACTCCTACTGTGCCACTTTCCACAGCAGATTGCAAGTGGCATATCACGTACTTCTTGCCTTCTGCTAAGGTAAAAAATCCATGACTGTGATAGAGAATGAA